TATTTTGATAACCTCCAGTTTCTGTCAAATCTATAACTCATACTGGGTGATGATTGAAGACGAAATGAAAATCTGGGACGTTGCAGGACCCCAACCAGCGACCTCAGATAGTTAAACAAAAAATCTATAATTCCTTTAAACGTATGCATCTGTAAAGCATTCAAGGTATGCATTTCATTTAAACACCATATAACATGTTCACTTTAAGATGCGAGAAAGCTCATCAGTTGTCATCATAATAAATCTTTTCAGAAAAAAACTACCATTTAAGGACGCAGTTCTTGTTCATAACTATAGTCTGAAATAAGTGGCTTTATCGAAGGATCGATCTTATTTAAATAAAGGGTGGAAACAACCAATACACTAGGCAGCAGTTTCACCCTAGTTTAAGCGGTCTTCAGCATAGCATACATTTAATCGTGTCTAGGAAGAAAACCTAGAATTTGTGGGTCTCTCATTATCTGTGTTGCTACTAGATCATCTTGAGGATTTTTCCAGGTCAGCCATATCACATTATGGGAAGAAAATCACAAGTGATGAATAGTCGAATTAAGTGACTTTCTGTATGCTACCTAATTTATAAATGACGATATGATCATCATGGATATTAAATATTCTTCTCTGCGCGAAAATACAAATTGATGATCTTTGACATTAGATGTAGACTTTGGTTGAATTTGAATGCAATTGTACAGCTTTAGAGAGTGGTCATCGGAAGGAAATTTGTTTGCTGAAATCTTCCTATTAATTTTCAGTAGGAATATTCAGATGTGTAAAATACTGTGGCATCTCGGACCATAGCTGTATTTGTGGGGTATGTACACAGGATCTAAGGGTACTTATCCATTTACTCCCACCTGATCACTATATGGTTTCAGTGAAGTCCATTCTTGGGATTCCAGCAGAAATCTGTACTTGTCCTCAGATATATTCTTGAAGTTCATTTCTAGGGTAGGAAGCACCTTACTTGACTGAATCTCAGTTGACAGCAGTATACACCCTATTCGACTGATACTTACTGTAAGGACTTCTTGTAATCTCTGCCTACGCATACATTGCAATTCAAATAAGTAGATGAGTCCCACCGAAAACTGCCTAGCCTCCTTCTAAAAGCTGGAAATCTAGATCTAGTTATCTTGATGGATGACCTGAATGCACAAGTAGGAAGACTAAGCCGGACATAGCTGCACTCAGAGGTGATAAATCCGAACTCCTAGCCAAACGAACTGACAGTGACATTCGACTCTAAGATCCGTGCCCAGACAACTTAGCATCTACCACCTTGAACTCAGTAATAGAAGGGGTTTTGCCCTATTGCCATCAGATATCACTGGAGAGAGTTGGCAAGATATTTGTTCTCTTTTTGGAACACGTATCTGAACAGTAAAACATAAATTGGTTTGACCACAAACCACTCGGCCTAAATGGAACATAGAAAAACTATAGTTGAAAGACTTAAATGAGTTCAACTCGATAATGAGGATACTGAACGTATTTTCAAAGATGAACTTGTTAGGTAGTTACTGGAGTACGACGAGGCTACTCATCCTGAAAAAGCTTGGTGCTGTTATAAAAAGGAAAAGACTGTAACTGACCTTCGAAAACAGGTTAGGAAGACATAATGGTTGTTAGCAGCTTAACCTGAAGTAATGGAGTAATGCTTCAGTCACAATCAGAAGTGAACGAAACTCAAACGCGAACTGACAAGATGTATACGGGATTATCGTGAGCAGTGGTGGCAAAATAAATCGAAAAGGCAACGAAGACATTTAACAATACACAGCTATTTAGACTCATCAAGGTAACTGGGGCAAAATGTCAATCGCTAATGAGACCATAGAGGAGAAGGATGGGCCTACGATTTGCTCAGAGGCAAACTGACTAAAATGATGGATGGAACACTGCAACAGGCTCGCCGACCCCTGCAAAATTTTACAAGGTTGTAGGTAACCTGGAACAAGGAAGAGCATCATAATCAGAGGGGCTAGCACCGGAGGTATTGAAGAACAGTGGTCCAGGATTATTGGTCAAGGTAAATGAAGTCTTAGCTAGGGTACGCGAATCAGATATGATTACTGTTGACTGGCCTTAATAACTGATTACCATATTCTTAAAAAAGAAGGCATCCTTCTATGAAAAGCGCGAAAGAATCAATCTGACCAACAAATCATTTAAGATTCTAGGTTCTGTAAGCACTAGACGCCTAAGTAAATCTCAGGAAAAGCAAACTCAAGAAAACAGTGTAGGCTTCAGAACGAGTCGTGAGTACGTACACTCAGTATATATTAGCCTTGTCAGGTTTTACAACACAAGCACACAAAACGAACCCTGACACTAGCTGTACTTCTTGCCGTGAGGGCAGCGTTCGACAGTTTTAATAGAAGTGTTTCAATGAAGGCTCTGTACTTGAACACCCATTGGTGTATTCCAGCTCTTGGTGAGGTATCAGGGAGTTGTGTACGTCCAGTGATGTCCATCAAGAATGTCTACTATGTTTTTGTTCAAATTTACTACCAACGTACTTAGTGAGGCTTCCCTTTCTTCGTCTGACTTTACAGGGATTGACCTTATCACAGAAGAACCCATCATAGATGTACACATATTACACAGTTCTGTTCGATGAAGATGCTGACAGGATGCAGAGTCTTCTGGACACGTTGATTAGCAACTTGAGAATATTCGAGATGCGTTTTCTCTCCTACGGAATGCAGACTGGGGCTTCACGACTGGTCTATATTCACACACTGTCTGACAATAGAAGGTGAATTCGTGGAACACTGACCACCTTAGCTTATTAGGAAGTCGGGTCAATAATCGGTTAAATGTACATACAAATACTAAAAATATGACTGGTTACGACAAATTGCCCACTAATGGTCCAGTATACTGCGCTGTAGTTGGCTGTCTTCTACCTTATGGGTGTGAAAGGCAGAAGACATGAGAAGGCCATAGGTCTTCGACTCCCTATGTCTTCGCAGCATTGATTGTATCATAAAACCACTTCGGCAGTAGCCTCTAGGTTAGTTTTGGTGTCATGGCGAAAGAGGTAAGAGAACACTGTCAATAACTGAAGTGGCTCGGACATATGTTATGCATTCCTAGTTGCTACCTATCCCGACCCGTGGTGCCAGCTGAGTCAGGATGGACAAACGTTGAAGGTGAACAGGCTAAAATTTGTCATCAGTCTATGAACTCTCACTGTCTTTCTGAGCTGTCTAGAGGAATGTGGAAATACAGATTAAAATTCATGTGGCAGCTGAAATCGGTGTGCGGAGACTATAGGTACAAATCTGCATAGATTGCAGTGGTGCATATGTATCCATACTTTATTTCCATACCAACCTTTATATCATAGATAATTATTCGCTTTATTTCCATGTCGCTCCTTAGAGTCTCGATCACAATATTACTTTTTCCCTGTCTTTCTTCGTTTCCACGTATCTTAATATGCTGATGTGAGGAGTGGCAACTTAAACCGTTACGCAGTGATGTCACGTCCTGTTTTAATACCGACTGGCTGAAATATTGTTTTTTACCAAATTAGACATGAGTGTGATTCCCTATAGGCTAACAACAGACCTTCTTATCCGATAAGGATATTGACCCTGATAACGTCTATGCGGTTGGATATGAAACTTTTCAAGGATTAGCATAATGTTCAGAGTAATGCAGCGTGCAGAGGATATTATGCTGCAAGGTGACGTTGAAAAGATGCAAAATCACCTGTACAACTTCAGCGGCCTGCGAATATGGTGGAAATGGATTCTGAACATCAAATGTCGTCCACCAGTACCTGGTTTAAAAACGGAAAACGAAGTGCCAACTGACTATAACACTCAACTGAAGAGTTGAATTCACGTTACCAGGCTAATGGCTGATAAACAGTCGACAAAGTAAAAACCTTTTATTCGGTATTTCTGAGCCTAAAGTCAACTTTTTTTTATGAATAAGCACCAAAAATCAAGTGTACTCGGCTGCAGTTCACTTAATTCTACTTTATATTCGTGAGAAGTGGTATCTGAGAGTATAGTATACAATTTACACCCCAGGTATGCATTGATATGTCTTTTTCGAAGTATTTCTCGCTTACTAGAAGTTGTGAAGTCAGATGTAACGATTAAGTACGGATGCGTATCAACCGAGATATACATTTCAAGTGCAGAGAACCTATCAGCATCAGCGTACAATACTGAAATACGATTAGGTATAAAAAACTGACATAGATGACCAGATTAAGATGATAATGAGGTCTATGACTACTGGTTTGAGGTCGAGTTCTTTGAAATATCAGCAGTCAAAAGTGGTCAAGTCTGGGTGAAAACGCTCCACATTCATTAGACTGGAGCAGATAAATCCAATCCTTATCCTTTTCTAGATTTTGAACACATGATCATCATGTTTTTCCTCGTGTAATCTTTTGGTTCATTTAGAAGCTCACTCTCTGCTGTTCCACTTAACAGTCAATTAAATCAACGGATATTTGTGTAACTACCTACATTTTTGCCTCTCCTTGACTAATGCGTCACAATTTAGTAACACTGTGGTGGCAACAACAGCAACAATATGAACGACGACAACAACACATTAGAACAAAGTTATGCGTTACGTGTTTTTTCTTCAAAAAAAAAAAAGACTAAGCAAATAAAGCTGGGCAAAACAATTCATTATAAAGTGCAATTATAATCAGGAATTTAGCAAGATGGCAACAGCTGCACCATTTTAAACCTTTTTTGATTGTTCACCTGGACAGTTAGCATACTTCTTTCATGTGATTCAAAAAAGGAAAAACGTTACTCATAAAATGAAAAAATACTGGAAAGAGAGGATAAATTCAACCCTTATTTATTGACTGTTATTCACTTAGGGAATTGATGGATTAGTCAACAAAATAATAAGAATAGGAATGCATAATAGAGACAGAGAGAGGGAGAAAAAAGTGATGAGAAGTGAACAATGTAGACAAAATTAAAAACGAGATAAGAAAGTTAAGTGAAGGTGATTTAATCTACTCGAGGTAAGAAGCCATTTTTCTCCGGTTGATAAAATTCTTCAATCATTTTTTCCACAAGTTCCTGGAGTTCAGCTACTAAAGATTGAACAGGTGTCCTGAAATAAACAAAAATAATCAATACTACACTAAAGGAATAATCTTCATGCATCAATGAATAAAATAGCCATGGTCTGGTGGCCTGGTAATATATACTGGGTAATGATTGAACGTGAGATGAAAATCTGCGACGCGGTAGGATTCGATCTGTTGGCCTCCGGTCTACCGACTCGGTGTTCTACAAACTGACCTACGAGACCAAACCGCTGAGCAGATTTCACTTCAATCACCAGGGATATTTGTCTGACTGCTATGTGAATTAATGACGCGTTACTATCGTTTGATCGTACTCAAACTGACTACTTAGTCAGGACTTCTCACGTCAATCCAAATCTAATTGAATCGGGTAGGAAGAGCATCATATTGATCATCACTTTGACAGATTGACTCAGTAATTTATTGATATACTACACGCAAATATATCTTCATAAACGTTACAAAGTAGGAAAGAAAGAAAAAAGAGGTTGCGCAATAAATTGAGCAAATTCCTTAGGAAAAAAGTATGTTCCAACGTGACTGCTTCCATGGGCTCATTGATTTCCAACCAGCGGATCGACAGGTCGAACACCGCTCCCCACCTATCGAAGTTTAGACAGCCCAGTAATATCATTCACCCTCGTGCAATAGGTGTGTTTCATTGTCTACTGGACGAATATGCACAAGGTTGTTGAGGGGATTTCGATTCAATCCATTGTGTTCATCAGAAATAGGCAGTTTATGGTAATCTTTTTTTGACTACTAACTAGAGTGAATTGATGGACATACTACTTCGATTTTGCGCTTACAGAACTAGGAACATGTATGAATTCATGTCTACAGAGTACAGACATTCATTATTCTAACAAGATGTAAGTGAATAGGCTTACTGTAAATTTATTAAATATTGTTTAGAGTAAAAAGATGAAACACGAATAAAAGTTTTAGACCTCGTTTAGGTCAAGTAGTCTGAAATCTTTCAATTTCAATGGAAAAAAGGCCGTTTACTCCTTTTACATAAAATAAATTTTTATTAGCAAACGAAGTCTACCGACGGAACAGAATGGACAAGGTAGATGAACTCACAGTTCAAATGACTACTGTGTGCGATGGCGTGAGGACTTATAGTACAATAATTGCAAATATATAACCATATCTAACAGTCATATTTAGTGCACAGAGACAGTCAGAAGGTTTTACTCGATACTATACGACGAAAAAAGCACACTTGTAAAAGAATTAGTACTAAGCTGACTAGGTCAATCAATAGTATGATTCTGTCTGCATATTACAAGTACTAATGTAAATGGTAATAAATTATATATTAATGATGGATAGTGGCTAGCAGTGGGATACAGGACGCACGTTTCGTCCCATTTGAGACTAGTCAGCTGGATATACCTGTCTCCCAGTGAGCAATGTTGTTCCCATTAGGCATCCGCGCAGCAGCCCCTTTGCAAATAGAGATCGATCAACTCGATTTACTGAACAACGGAATAATACAAGCAACAACATAAAATGGTAATAAGGTTTTCTGGTCATGAGAAATATAAGATCAAAGAATAAAACGTATTTACTTATATCAGCTTCATGAGATTTCTTCTCATAAGAATATATATTAATAAATAGGTGCAGCTCGTTTGGACATGTTGAAGACATTCTCATTAAAATAAGAAGAAATTTCGAAGAATAAACTGCACGCATGAATTGTTCACTAGTAGGTAACCAATGTGGCTGGTTATCTAGTCCTCAGTGCTTAACACTGATTTAAATCCATCGATCAAGTTCCTCAATGTGGTCAGTGATTGAAGTCACACAACACTGCTAACTCATTCCTACCATTCAACACAAAAACAGATTGCGCTGAAGTGTTGTGTCACTTCGCTTAGTGGCTGCATTGCAAACCTTGGTCAACAGAATTCGACCAGCACTAAGGACTACAATGGTTGCATGGTTCACTCACTGGTGATCGAATTATGTACATTATCCAGTCCTTTGGCTAGTCATTTATGGCTTGAATACCTTAGTAGTTAAGTCTCTGGACCTAGCACTAAGAAGTGCGGGTTCGGGGCGCTGAGGGGAAACTAATTTCCTCATGATTCCAGACACACCTTGCTGGCAAGTGCCAAGAAGCCTGAAACCTAGGTGAAGCGGGACTTCCCATAGACCGATTCCCACCATTTAATAGCAAAACTGAGTTCATCTTTATTTCATGACTTCTCTTTAGCCACAAACAGAGTTAAAACACACTTTTGTGCTACGACGACAACTAGTGGTGTCCTGAAGGGATCCCCACCGTCACCGTTTTTATTTAATGTCGTTATAGACGTACTGATAGACATAACATTTGGAATGTCCGACTTCATAGGGATTAACCCACTCTCTGGAGGTCATCTGGTTTATTTAGAGTATTCAGATGATATTGTCCTGCTGGGTGAAGACGCTGACAAAATGTAGGGTCCTCTGACTGCCTTGAGCACAAATCTGAGTATTATTGGCATGCATCTCGCATCTGTCAAACGTGAGATGGTGCTCCAAGACAGGTCTTCTGCAACTACTCCCAGCTGAATGATAGGGAGTGAAGTGGTGGAATGTGCCGACCACTTCTCTTACTTGGCCTCAGTTCGAACGGATTCCTTGCCGACAAAACCTCATCTCGGATTCAGAAGGCCCATTTACCTCTTGACAACTTGCGTCACCTGTGGTGCCGACTGATGACATATTTGACTACCTGTTAAGGGACGAGTATAATACACTACAGTCCGTTCTGTACTGTTATACAGCTGTGAGACGTGGTCGTTTAAAGTATGAGACATAAAGCAATTATAAGTTTTTGATCACAGGTGTCTTCTTAGCACTGATCCCGTATGGTGGGATCACCATGTGAGCGATGTTGATGTCAAGGGAAGGGTACCAGGCAAGATAAGTCGACTGATGAGGTTGTGAACCTTAACTGGATGAGATGGTTTAAGCATATGCTGTATATGCCGAGCCTCATGCAAGAGGAAGTTCGATTAGCTTGGTAAAGGGTTCAGAGTGACCAAACCAAAGGTTGACGCCAGTCGATGAAGCCTTTTACTGTTGGTCTGAGTAATGTGGGGAGACGCAGAGTGCTTGGTTGGGGTTCTCAAGACCATGTGAATCAGTGGTTTGAGACTTTTGATGACGGTTGAAAACTGGTCGCAGTGGTGCAGATGTATTCACTCTTTGATGTCTTCTAAACTTGAATATTTACACTGTCCGTTATTTTCAAACTGTTTATTCTCTCGTACAACTTTGTTTTCTTTTGAGATCAATGTTTTTCTATTCACCTGTTCTTTGTGTACTAATATGAAGTGCGGTGACTTGAACCGATGCACTTATAAGTGAGGCTCTAAGTTGATTTTGCTAGTCAGTTACGAAAAAAACAAGTGCTTACTACACAACGGGGAAGTTATATGAAATAGGTAGAATCTAGTTAAGATTGTTGGCGGTGCAAATGATAGTGACAACAATTGTTTATTTATAAGTAGCTTAATAGGAGGTTCAGAATTTTTAGCAGAATGTGTAACAATAACAATGATCAGGATGACAATAAGAACAGATTTTCTATATGACAACAAAGTAATGAAAATTATGGGTGACTCTAAGTTTGACTTTAAAGGCCACGCCAGAAACAACTGAAATAACCAATTAGACTTTCTTATTTTGTGAAAATCTGCCTTTGAGTGACTTTACAGGGTGCCTTAGCAACTGCTGGATACACCAATCAGGCTTCGGTATTTCACCTGGGAAAGTACTTTTCCATAAAATGGAGAAATGTAACTGGCTGTCTCATCGGTCACTACGGTAGCCTTTAAAATCACCCCCGACTTTCCAGCCAAAACGAAAAAATCCAATTGGATACTTTGATCGTTGCTAGGGTGGCCTCTAGAGTTAGGTGACTTCAAAGGCCACCCAAGCAACCACTGAGAACCTATTAGGTTTCTTCACTTTATAAAAATTTACCTTTTCAGACAAAATAGTAAAACCTGATTGGTTACTTCATCAATTGTTACGGTGGCCTTTAAAATCACTCAATATTACCGTGCGTAGGGCTGCGAAATAGGTAAAGAAAAACCAATGAAAATTCAGATAATTTGGGGAAAAAAGGATTGTCCAGCACAGCAATGCTACACTGACGTCTCTCCCTCTTCGTATCTAGACAAAAAGGATACTTTTCAAACTGTGAGTCTTTATGAACTTAGGAAAATGAAGAAAAGGTGTACTTTATCAGCTTATCATCTGAACAGTCATGTCCACGACATGCAGTCAGACTTACTTATTCCATCCAGCTTTCCTACTGTACAGATTTATTCCATTATAGCACAAAGTACTTCACTAAGTTTACCCTAAACTAATTCAATATTTATTTTAGTCGGTTCGTAGCTGTGTCGAAGCCAAGAAATAAATCTTGTTCTATATGCCTTAATAAAATGATCAAGAGGGAACACTGAATGATTTTTTCTAAAGGAAGCACTTTCAACTAAAAAATAGTGAGCAAAACAGGACACCGATGATAAAACGTTTGCTGACATCCACCTTTTTAGACATTGGATACCGAATATATAAACATTGTCTGAATGGTGTGACCTCGCATTTAGAGGATATTAAGACCTAAGGAAGTATTTCTACATTTTAAGCCGTTTCGTTAGACAGATTTTGATGAGTGCTGGAGACAGCAGAAATACTGACAAGGGCTTACCTACTCAATTTCGAAAATCAGCACTTTTAAACTAACATATTGAAGGTTACTGATGGATAACGGACTAGCAGTGAGATCCATGACGCGTGTTCCGTCCTATTTGGGCCTTGTTATCTGGATGTATCCGCCTCCCAGTGTTTCAGGAATTCGCCAAGAGTATAAACTGAGGGCATATATGTTCCCCATAACACACACTGATATATATATATATATATATATATATATATATATATATATATATATACGTATAATCGTATATTGACTTAGTTTTCCTAGACCCCAACATCGATGAGATAGAATGGGTAAAATAATTTGATATTCAGCCTTCATAGAACTTAACTGGAAACAACTGTATAAAACAAAGTAACGCAAAAATGTTCAACTTGGTATTTTGAAAGAATTGATTAACTTGCAAATAGCCTTCGTTACAATTTGTATCAAAAAGCAAAGCATCAGTGTATAGCAGCTTCACAATCTTTACAAACAGATGGATTCAACTAACTGTCTCATAGAAAGCACAAAGTAATCAAATCCTGCTACAAACACACTGTAGTTCAGTCATTTTCCTGGGATCTAGTTAGAAGTTATGTTGTATGCAACGAACCTAGTTGATGGAGGGAATAATGATGATTGTGGGAAAAGTGAAGCTTTAAACTTTAAACGACTCTATTTCCATCTGTTAGCTGAATACCTACTGCGCACACGATGATTCTTCACCGAAGTGGTTCAGAATGTTCAAAACTAAGATAAGAATTCATGTGATATACTCAATGAAAGATGTATTACATAGGTGAAGATGCTTACTTGCTTTCAGGTTTCGATACTAATTCAGAATAATATTTAATTTTTGGTTCAGTTCCACTTGTACGAAGTGTTAATGTCACACCATTCACGAAATCAAAAGTAATTAATTGACTTGATTTACTGACGGGCAACACCTATAGGAAAGAATAAAGTGAAAAGTAAGCAAAACAACAAGCAAAAGTATATGTTACCAGGAAATTCGAGAGAATCTTTCACCAGTCAATGGTTATAAAGTAATTACGTGCCATAAATAAGTATAAGGAAGCCAAAGATGAGGAAGACGATTCTTAAAACCCCTACTATACTGTAGCTTACTTGGTGGTTAGTATCGTATTCCAGAACATGAGCTTCGTCCTATTTAGGACTCGTCAACTGGATGTTCCTCCACACCAGTGAGTGATATTGTTCCCACTGAGACTCAAACCCAATGCCCATCCTTTTAAACACAAAGGGTTATCTCCAGTAGGCCACTAAAGAACAAAAGCCACCACTTGTGCAACAGGCACCAGTTGTTGTTTGATGCTTACAATTTCCCGCTGCTATACTGGGCCGAACAGCTCGACGTCTGTTGACAGATGAGCGTCTATGCGGAGGCCTCAATACTACCCACAGGTCGAGTAATTCAACCCGGTATAGCAGCAGGAGATAACAAGTATCAATAAACAACCCTTTATTATACCTTATAACGTGTTACTCCTCTATATTCTAACGAAATTCAACAATTACTATAATTTACTTGGTGGTGGCTACCAGTGGGATCCAAGACACTCGTTTCGTCCTATTTGGGTCTCGTCATCTGGGTGTACCTGCATCCCAGTTAGTGGTGGCGTTCCCAATGAGACTTCAACCCTGTGCTCATCGTGCATCATTGACCTGGCTTTCGGATTGATAAGCACTGGGTCTGAGTCTCAGTGGGAACACCATCACTCCCTGCGGTCCAGGCACACCTAGCTGTCGAATGCCAAATAGGACGAAACCCGTGTCCTGGATTCCCTTGCTAGCCACCATCAAGTAAATTGTAGCAATAAATAATTAGGCATCATTGAGGTATCCGCATAGCATTCCGTTTGCCAACAGAGGCTGGTCAATTCGACCCCGCGTAACAAAGGGGAACTACAAGTATCAGAAAATATAATAATTCAATAATTACCATTTGACTATTTTATTTAATTTCATATTGACAGAGAGATGAGGCTATGTGGTTCCGTACATGAGAGTGTAAACTGAGTACAAATCTCCCAAAGTTAGAAATCTTTCCTGTATACAGAGTTTGCTTGTTTACTACAAACTTGTTGGTGTCATCTTTATTACTATTATTTTCCACTGAACAGCTATCTTTAACCAGTTGCTTAAGACATTTACTTGATCATAGATTTTGTCATTCTGAAGGCCTGTCATGATGTTTGTTTAGTGCTAGTGATAGGCACACAATTACACCTCAAATATGAAGCATTTATGCAAAAGAAAACTGATTGCAGCTACGCCTAATCCTTAATTAATTTGGGATAGGCGTATGTTTTTACTGTTTTAGTGTAATGCTGAACTGAATGAACACTGTATTTAAATCGCAACATGTCTTCTCTGAAAATGACTTCAACAGCTTTAGGAGAGGTTGGCAGACAGGATATATGACTGAAAACAATTCTTCGAGAACCCTTTTGAACTTTTATTCTAGATATATCGTCAGTAGCAAAAAGTATCCACTCACTTGTGAAACCGAGCGATAACTGACTACGCTTACTAGATGTTCGAACCATATAGATCTACCATTAGATATCGAAAAAATTCTAATCATGTTTTTAGATAGAATTTATAATTTTCATTACACTGAAGCTAAGTGCAGTTGACCTTTGGTTTAGTTCATATAACGGAAATGCCAAACTGATGCGTCTATATGCATGTAATTACAATTAATTGAAGCCAACGATTAAGTTAATGTTGTTCTTGTAGAATTATTAACTGCTTACGGATACATTTATCCTAGTAATTCTAAACATTTTTACAGAGAATGATTTAATTGCGTAGTTATTTATCCACCGACATATTATATAATTCAAGTATTTTCTAGTAGTAAATTATATATATATATATATATATATATATATATATATATATATATATATATATATATATATATATATATATATATATACCCAATCATTGAAGTTATCCAATACAGGGAAAGCATGCAAACCAGCTACTGAATTATATAAATGGAGACGAAACTAAGGAAGAGGATTTCGAGCTGTTGACTGACCGAGAAAAAGTTGTCAGTATTATGTCTTTACATCCAGTTGGTTATAGAAACTGGAAAGCTGAATGTTCTGAATTCAACATTGCATAGTGCCGGTGGTAGCGCACACTGTTCAAGACTCTCAAAATGATACAGCTATCCTCTGCTTTCTAGTTTCCCTAGTTTTCAGTTACGAATAGTGGCTACTATATTCTTTTCATTGGCTTGGTACTGACCAGGGATTTTGTCCACAGAAATAACTTCCCACACTTACCTATTAACCTAAATTTATATTCATTTAGAGCATTTGGAGTACAGTTTGTTGTACTACTTACCTACACTCCGCACCTTAACCCCTGGTTTTGGTGAGTTAGGTACCGTGTATTTTGATAACAGATTCGTTCTTCTTTTCCAGTTGTGTGCTTTATACTGAGATTCACGGAATCAAATACCCGCACTTAGAAAACTGGTAGATTTCGATGGATGCGTGGGTGTTGGAGAATATGTAGTGATTTCAACCACCAGTAGCCGGGTCATGAAGTCTGTTTGTATTTAGGACGCAAGGTTCACAAGACCCATCAACCAAAGTCGTTCTTACCTTCTATGTTCCCTTGCTAACAGCTCTGTAGCACCGTGTGATACACATTAAGTATCGTTACATATTAGAAATCCCTAGTCAACTAGTGAAGTTGTCGTAGAAGAGATAACCTTTGGTAGTCTGAAGACGTTTTAGTCATTTAGTCCCCAAAGTCAAGTATCTATTCTGATTGAAACTGGTCAGAATAAGCCAAAACTTGTCCAATTCGTGATAAAGTGCTGGAGAATAAAGTACAACTGAGTTCGATGAGAATCTGCTCATCCATCATGATTCTGCAGAACTAGAAGATTATTTCATTGATTCGCCAGAGATATTATTAAACATGATTCACAAAGGTAGTATGTGACTATCACAATATTGTTTTATTTCATCTTCTACATGAATAACAAGTCTATTTACAATGCAGAAAAGTATTAAAACATCTGCTGAATACATATTTATGCGACTGCCTGTGTCTATCTCACCATAACTAGTACACCACAGCTATATTCCCCTATAATGTTGTCACATTGCTTTGCTATATGGATCGCTTCTTATAAGAGGTGCAGCCTTTTTATTTCTTAAATAAAATAAGTAAACATAAGTGAACAAAATTGGCGATAATATGTTGTTGTTGTTTTATTCTCACACAAAGAAAAACAATAATTACTGGTTTAAAATCTGGAAAATGATCATCATAGCCAATTGTTAAATCACGTATCCCATTTATCTGAAATCGTCCAACTTTTTGAGGATAACCTTTAGGACCAGGCTTATTTGACCAATGACGAATACGATCGAACATCTTTACAATTTTCTCTGGTTCATGACAAAAGTAATAGCCATTATTACTAATATGTTGACCATACCTGACAGAAGAGATACGCATAGATGAGAATAGTAAAAAATAATCATGTACACCTTTGTAACAAGCATAATGTAGACTGAACTTATACAATCACGAAGTAATTTATATGAACTATGGTTAAGATTTGACTGAACAGTGACGTAGTCGGTGAGTTAGTGAAATCTACAACCAATGTGAAAGGTACACTTATCTTGTAGACATTTGGTAGCCCATAGAACCTACAGGGGTTGCACGTTTTTTTGTGCAAACGGTAATCCGTAGAGAAGTGCACAATTTATCCTTTATGGATTGATTGGATTATTTTCCTAGTTTCAGCTTTCAGTTTGTTTAGTACGGCTCATGATTTTGTCCCATTCGTCTACTGATATGGTCCCGGTATTAAGATGTTCCCTTGTCTTTTTTTCTCTCACACAGTCAGCTGTCAATTGTAAATCGAAAACTTCAGTGCACAACTCACCATACGATTCAAAGTTTAGATTTTAAGCTATGTGACATGTGGTATGCGCACGATAAGAAAACCTCATTATGATGGAGCCGGGTTCATCTTCACAACCCATAAACCGACAGGCATAACTTAAAAAAAGTAGCGACATCCAGCCCCATGCCACCCAAGTTATATAATAGACATCGGTAGATAATAAACTAGGGCAGTGAAATAATAAACCTCATTGCTATCTAAACCTAGTTTTGATCTTGCTGAATCGAACTAATCCACTGTTACACCGTTTTACTCAAATAAAGGTAACTTTTACTTTGCTCACTTAGACACATAAATATGAAGCAATCCCAATTATCAGCTGGAATAATATACACTGTAAGGCGAGGCTGATAGTCATATACAATAATTAGTAAGGAGATCATCTAACCACTATTTACTGGATCGAATATTTCATCTGTGGTTACCACCAAACAGATAAAAAACACTAAACAGATGCATGCACACTTGCGTGAAATACTGGACTACTTTTTAAACAGAAGCATAACAAAGTCCCACTGGCGCTTATAGACTAGAAAAAAAGCTCTTCAATTCTCCCACCTCTCCCCACGTGATAGTTCACTTTCAAATTAACAGATTATGATTATTGTATTTATTATTTGTCCCTTGGGTTCCTAGTGGAACATACGGCTTCAGTAACACGTCGCCATTTCACTCTCTCCTCTACAGTCTTCTTAACCTGGCTCCACCAATGCCCACAAGCTTTAACTTCTTCCTCACACTATCTTCTCCATGTCACCCTCAGCTGGGACGCCCAACTCGTCGTTTCCCATTCGGGTTCCACTCGAGGGCCTGCCTGGCCTGGCACGTGATGTCCCCGAATGGTCTTCTTAGGGTATGTCCAATCCAATCCATCTCCACTTTCTTCTGCATATTTGTTGGTCGAGTTGGGCATTCATGTCGCCCATTCGAATTTTGATGTCGCCATTTGAGATGGGCTCTTGTCGACTACTGATTGCAGTTGTCTTTAGAATTTCTCCTTCTTCTCTTCATCTGCATTATTTGTAGGTGCATAGCGTAGCATTGTATGTTTGTGAGTTTCCTTTCTTTTGAGTTGAATCTTGCTGTCATGATCCTGATGCAGGAGGAGATTGGTTCCCACTGCATGAGAACCTTCAATGCTCTTGAGGACATCATGATAGCCACTCAAAAATGTGTGCTCGTGGTTGTCATTTGGATGACAATATCGGGGTAGATTATTGACTCCTCTCCATCCCATCTGCTTTCGCAGATTCCTAGCACTTCTTTGCTACACCTTCTCATCTCTTTTGCAATCTGGGCAGCCCTGTCAGCCAGCTTCAAACATTGTTCGGATACTCCATGTCTTCATCCTCACTTTCGCTTTCATCGAGAGAAGAGAAGACACATCGGCCAGTTGGCTTCCTTAAGGCTTTCACCAACTGGCGTCATTTCGCCTCTCCGATTCCAGAGAGGAATAAGTTTAATTTTATGTTTTATATTTTGTTTGTGCTTTGAAGATTCTTTAGCTGTTGGATTTGTTTTCCGGGGTAGGGTTGCTAGCCTTATGTCCAACCTTCCGTCTTTATCCGGGCGTAGGACCGGGTAGTAACTAGTGTACCAGTTAACCAAGCGAAGTTGGATTATGGTTAGTATTTAACACGAATGGAAAGTCTAATGTGTGTGTGTATATATCTGAATGATACTTTTCTCGATAATTGGTGCATAAGTATAAATTCACTTCAATTTATAAAATATACAGAATTAGTCATGAGACTAAAAATCGTCGACCAATGAATTTCAGTTCACGAGTTGTCTACTGGTAACTTAGACACCATTTAGTAAGAATTACTTGAGGATTATGGGATATGGATATTATTAAAAACATCCAGACCATAGTTGTTACGACTGTCCTGGGAAGAGTTTAGCACTAAGTCTGATTTAATCCTTATGAGAGCATGCGGTGACTTCAAAGATCACTTTGGAGACTGCTGAAACAACCAATCAGGTTTCGCAATTTCGGCTGGAAAAACTGATTTTCATAAAAGCAAAAAGTCTAATTGGTTATTTCAGTCGTTGTTAGAGTGACTTTTAGAGTCATTCAGAGTAAATTATAACATAATCCCAGTGTATTTAGAAAATAAAAACAAGATAATATCGGGTGAAAATCCAGTGAGTGATTCTAACTGATGGTATTGGAAAACACTGATAGAATATCATTCAGTTTTGCTTTCTTCATGTTTACCCAACAAATTAACATAACTGGAAGTAGAAGAACCATTGAGAACGGAGGAGCACTAGATATCTATTTCGTCCCAGTGTAAGACTCCTCAATAGTACGTACCCACAAACTCGCCAGGGGTTGAACCTAGAACCTTTAAGTCTCAGTGATGGACACTACCTTGAATTAAATGAAATCCCCATAAAACCCAAGTTAAATAACCAGAAGTATCTGCTATCTCTACTGAGTTTACATGACTACTCAATGTCTTCATCAAAGCAAGCAGGAGCGTGATCGTCTAATTTTGTCACCATATGATAATTTCTACTTAAAATCAGTAATATCTGCAGCTGTTCTATATCCGCATTTCTCAGTCAATTCCACAAACAATAACGGCTCAATGCAGGGAGATAACTCATGAACAACATGATCTCGCTAAATATGCCAACCAGTACAACAGATAAAATAAACCGTACTAGCTAAATGCAGGAAATCAATTGTCACTGTTCCTATCACCCCAGGTTTTGCAAATATACGTCTCATGTACAAAACAATAAATAAAAATACATACTGTATTCATTTTTCAAGAAAAAAAAGTGGGTGGAATTTTTTTATGTACATAGTAACACCGATCTCATTACAGACAAGTAGAGAATCAATAGTTAGATTTCCGTTATTTTCTCATCAATTAAAAGGAGCAATTAGAATTTATTTCATCAAGTTAAACAAAACTTTCTAAAAGTATTTGCATGTATTCAAAACAGAAATTGAGTAAACCTTATATCATATATCAAATAAGTTTGGAGATACTATAAATCGACAGCGCCACAGTCTTCAGCACTTATTACGAACTTCTAAGCAGATTAGCTCGAATTTAGAAATCAACGTGTCTCACTGAATAGTTGTAGAGACAGTTAACGGAATATCTCAGCCACTCCCACAACACTTAGGACTTATCAGGTTACACAATATGATTGAATGTAGAGGAATAAATCTCCCTTATACAAGTGTTGTTTAACGATGGTTTGGTTGTCTAAGATATTCGAGAAGAGCATGGAGAAACATTCCGGTGGAAATGGCTTTAATGAAATGATACACGCGTCAATTCTGTTGTCTCTAAAAGTCTCTCTAGAGGTATAGCCTGGAAACAAAAGCGGCCTTCATAATGGATACATCAGTATATCAGTGATAATTTCTTTTCAACCAGAAAGATAATAACAATTATGGGTTATCTGATATATCCTATCCACCAATAAATTGCGCAACAAGTCCAAGTTATTCAAGTTTGATGCCATTCAGTTATGAAGTATAGACTATAGACAAGAAAATAGTTCATCAGGTTTCATCGAAAGTGCCTGCTTACAAGAAAAAAACACGGTAAAACTCAACGAGTAGTCACAAGACAGAACTCGGTAGATACAGTCTTACTAAGTAATAGGTTAATGTAAATATTTATAAGTAAGGGTGTTTCAAACCTTTTGGACCCGACCGATAGCTGCTACACTAACGTGGCGGTCAGGCTTGCATAACGCAATGACCCAACGAGCTATTCTGGTGGAACGCTTGTTTTCTCGACGTCCCACCATGCCAGAAAGGTCCGTTGGATAGCGGTAAGACGAAAAGCCGTTGCGGTTGTTATGTAAATTACTACACTATGATGGAGGCCTAAGGGCGAAGTCGTACCGGCGCTAGCTGGATGGGGTGTGATAGCTGTAGTGTTTCCTTTGCATGACCAACAGTGCCAAGTTGATGCTTCCTTCTCAAGAGGAGGGATAAAAAACGTCGGCCCCCAAAATAACACATTCCACCATTCTCCACGGTTTCCCAGTGTCGGCAGTATGGGATTTCTGTCTATCCAGCGCAAGAACCACCAAGCAGTAAAACAACAACCCACAGTATCACTGGTCTCCTTGAACCACGCTCCAAATTACACATTCGAGCCTTCAATATTCGCACCCTCCATCAAATTGGTCAACAAGCTTCAGTGACCAAAACTAGCAAACAGGATCATGGATGTGTACTGTGCTTGTGAGACACGCATATAAGAACCAAGTGCGTTTATTTACTTAAACTCTCCCAGCCAACACGGTGAATCTGCTAAATTTACCCTTCGAGTTTCTGGAGATTAGATGGCTAGCTGTCGCGGTCTTGCAGGTGTAGACACAGCACTAAGCACTAGGGCAGAAAGTTAACTACTATATTAGACCCCAGTTGACAGTCACCTATGCGCTGTCCGGATAAACGGCACAATGCGAACTAAAAGGAATGGTGAAACCCGCCGTTGTCTATTGTAATCTCTGCTTAAGCACCCATTGACTGAAATTCG